TACAAAGAAAGAAACAGTTTAAAGAGGCTAAATAGAGAAAACAGAGATGAGGTAGCTAGTTAAATAACATAAGAAACATATATTTTGGCAACGCTTGTCTCTAACACTATAAGTTCTTCTGGCAAATGCTCTGTTTTGGCAGTTCCTTCATCAGTATATATATAGGGTTTTCCAATAATCGTGATATGGTTAAAAAAAAAAACACGCTCATTGTTAAGGAAGTTTAAATGTTTTTTATTTAATATGAAGTACAATCGATACATTTAAATTCTGAATACATCGAAAACATCGGCCTCCACGACTTCTTTTGTAGGAACGAATTCGATGAACTCGATTTTCGAGTACTTTTTCCACTAAATCAGGTCGTATGTCATTGACTTCAAAAGCTTGAAGAGAGCCTGGTTTATTGCTAAAGACCAACGACTTCAAATAACCGCACAAGAAGTAGTCTAATGCCATTTAATGTCACAATTTCTTGAAATTATCGAATCTCCAAACTTTTGTTGCTGTAGTACGTGCTGTGTGGCACATAGCCTCGTCTTGTTGGAACCAGACATTGTCAAGATCAACTTCTTCCAATTGCGGCCATAAAAAGTAAAATCGATCAATACCGCCCTCCATTAACAGTAACGGTGTCACAAGCTTCATTTCGAAAGAAGTACGGACCGATGATTCCACCAGACCAAAAACCACATCAAACTGTCAATTTAGGTGAATATAATGTTTGTTCGTGAATAAGTTGTGGATTTTCTTCGCACCAGAATCGACAGTTTTGTTTATTTACCGCACCACTCACCACAACCATAACCACCATAAAATAGCAAAAGCACAAGAAAAGTTGCAATTGGAGAACGATTATTTTGATAATAAAATTGTATAATTTGTAAACGTTCTTTTGCGTATATCTTTCCACGATGAAATTGTAAGCATTACTGAATACAATGAAAAAAAATTAAAGATCATGACATATTAAAAATGGCCGTAATGACATTTGGGAATCAAATCATGCCTATTGGAAAGCCCGATACATACAAGTAAACATTTCATTAACGCTTTAGATCGCCGTCGAATTACACCAACTTCCCTTCTCTGAATTGCAATATAATTATGGAATAAATAGATATAAATATCCACCTCCAAAGATTTGATATAAGATCGATACATGAGAATTTATTGGTCCATATTTAGAACATTCTCTGGTACCAGTTTCTACTAATCCTATAAGGGTCATTACGAAATAATCATAGTTTTTTCTGACCTCAGTGCCGCGGTGAACATCTTAAGCGTTGAATTCACAGGTTCCCAAAAGATTCGTAATCCACAGACACCTTTTTGCCGAGTGTATTAAATTAACTTCGAACCCCCATAGGTAGACTAATTCTTACATAAAAATATTCCAAGTGTTTTTATCTTAGCTAAAAGTATATTATTCCAAACATATAAATTTGCTCTTTTACTCTAGAAAATTTTTAGTGCCATATTTAACAAATAATCCAAGTTCCCAAATTAGTGGTTACTAATTTCCCAAAACATGAAGATCATCCCTCGTATTTATTTCTGTATTTTGATTTCAATCATCTCTTCCTCCTGTCAAATTCAGCTTTAGCCTTTAAATTGCAAAATAATGTTCAAATACATATGTTAACCGATTGTAAATATTACGAAAACAAATGCAATAAAGCACTTGGCAGCCAACCGGCGTCGGTAAACATCTTGCCAAAGATCAAAATTGTGTTTGCTCAGCCGTGGTAAGCCAGAAGGGTGCATTCAGCGGCTCTATTATGTGTGAATGTGCTGCTGAGTATTTACTTGAGTGTTTGTGAAAAGCTTTTGAAATGCTTACGCTCAGCGGAGGGTGAATTTCGCACGCAATGTGACGCAGAGGAATAAGTTTGCACTCAATGCCTGCTCTTAAGCTTCAAGGGGCTGTCATAGTGTTTAACCTGTTAAGGAAAATGACGTAATGTATCACTTTTATATAAAGGCGTGATTTTATAATAGATGTTCTTTTGATGTAATCTACCACAAGAAATAAAGAGTAAGACAATTTGGCTCCGTTACTCTTTTGAAGTGCGTTTGACAGAAAAATGCATTGGTTCGTGATGACCTGACGCTTCGCTTATAACGCTTAAATATATAAAATTTGTTTTTTATCAACATACCATGAACAGGTTATATTAAGTATATCACGAAGTTTCTAACACTCAAAAGCAAACGTCGATGACCGACAATACCTATTCGACTCTCTGTGGATTACAGAAATTTAGGTCATATTTAAACCATACTTTTACCATAGATTCGCCTACATCTCCTCCAACTTCTTAATTCTATATACTTTATGTTGCTCTATGCAGTACCGTCTTAAATCTAAAAAAACTTGTGGCCCCCTTTCATGTTGCTTCAAAGTCTGAGAGTTCGAAATGTCATTAGTAATGACATCATGAGAGAAAGTAGAAACACACGCCTCTTTTTATGACCCACCCTAATTGACAAGTTTTGCTTTTTACCATCGAGTTTTCTAAATCGAATTGGGGCAGACGATATTGGTAAAGTGATAAAATTTCAATTAGGCGGCGTCCATCCAACGCCCATGATTAGTAAAGCGCAAATGTGTGCGGATATTTAAGCGCCTTTTCAACACTTTCGATTTTTTATTGGTATTTCTAAAACGTCTCGAAATACCATTACCATGCTGACGTACAAATGTATATGTATATTTATAAATATTTATATATACATATATATGTATTGTGCAAATATTGTAAATATGCGCATGTCAAATTAATACTTTGTGGCACACGTTCTAAATTGACCTAGAATGAAGTTAGGTATCGGGTTACCCACAGGTACACACACGCACAGATAACTGCTGTGAGGCAAACAAATTTTGCGAAATGAATACCCAATAAAAATGCTATTGCTCTTTTAGGTATGTAAAAGATGCAAATGTAAACAAGTCGTAAATAATATTGCTATATTTGCAATATATGTAAGTGTGTATATGGATGTGAGCCTTGTATATTCGAGAAAGGGTACATTAAACATACTTTGCCACATTCTACCACATTGCATTACTTCTATGAATGAGCGTTGTTTACCTTTATGTTCGAAGTAAAATTTCGACACAAATACATCAAGCCATACAAAATTTACATACATGCCCCGTAGGAAATTGAACAAGCACAAAATTGATTTAGCTTTGGTAGTTTGGAATTCAACCAACTTAGAGGAAGATAAAATATCAAAAAGCCTCAAATTAACGAATGAAAATAGCGCATGTAGTGCTTTGTTTAAGACTGGTGGATGTTGGTCAGACCACGATCGAATTCAAACAGGTAATGGTTGTTTAAAGTTCAGATCTTCAATGTCACATCAAAGACCTCCAATGTTGATTGATAGCACGGCTGACTGGTTTCTTTACCGGTTAACTGCTGATTAGAGTTTTTTTGCTATTGTGAAATAATATTGACCAGCGTATTAGATTGCCGAGGACATATTGAAACACCTTTCATGGTATTACAGCTGATACTGAAAAGGCAAAGATGTAACGCATAGAATTACTGGTTGCAAAAATTTCGAAATTTTTGCCTACAAATGCTGAGTGTGCATATCTATATATTATATAAATCATTTGCTGCAAAAGGGTTGGCAAAATATTGACTTTCAAATTTGTTCGCTCCCAAAAAATACAACGTAAAATATTATTGGACATAGACACGTAACTCGAGAGAGCATGTGTATTTACCATACTTTACAGCTTGTTGATATATTGATGAACTGTTTTGCGCTGTTATTGTAGCTACGACAACATTTTATTGCTTGCGCATTGGACTTCAAAATATCAGCCCTAATTTTATGACAGAAATTAATAATAGTTAAGGTAACTTTTGCTTTTGTAACGGGTTTCTTTTCTTCATTTTCTATTTTACACATTTCGAACACGAACTTTTTGGAATTAATGGGTATTCGTGTAAAAGCTCGTGAACGCTTGTTGAAGGGATGTATAAATATAGCAGAATATATTTTATGCGAATGCATATATACATAAATATTTCGTTATGTTTGTGTATGTAAAAGTTGCAATTTTGTGCTCTTAAAATATAACTTTGCTTTCTTTCGCTACACTGACAAAAATTGGTATATAAATTTAATAAATTTAAAAATTAAATTAAATTTTCTTAATCAAAAATCCAGTTAGTTTGTTATTTTCGGAAAGATTTTTAAATATTAAGATCTTAATTCATATTGCCAGTTTCATGAAAATTTTCTTCAAAGACTATCTAAAGTTGTTTAGTGTCTATCGATAAGTTAAAATTTAGTTTTCTGAAATAAAATCTAAACTTTAAAATTAGAAAAATCCGGTAATAAAGAAGTGCCAATTTTAATATACTTCTAATCAGAACTTTCTTAAAATTATCACAGAACTAAACTGAAAACATTTTGTATCGTATTGACAACTCAGTGTGATCGGAAAGTCAAGCAATAAACCATCTGTACTGATGTTAAAACTCTTCCTAAATGAAACTGAGTTACATATATGTCGTTGAACGGCTCTTTTAAGTAGCTGAATCTTAAGAAAATCTTAAAATTAGACTAATTTATAAATTAGGATCTGCAATAAGTTTGTTACCAAACAAACATAGTATATGACTATTCAGCTCTGTTTATAAACTAATACGAAAATCCATAACAAATGATTAGGCCAAATAAATTAAATTAATTCAAACATCATTACATTCTGCAAACAAATTTTTCACAGTGCATTTCATCACATAAATACTTATTGTCATTTTCTCTTTCTATTTCAGGTCAAAACAATAGGAAACGAAAAGTTTGTGGCATTTTCGAAGTTTTGAATATATTAAGCCCGAATCAAGGTTGCATATCAAGTGGAATAATAAACCACTATCTATTAGGCATACATACATCCACCAACAAATAAATATATTACAAAAAAAAAACACAGTAACCACACATATACACCCGTCTCCAGCAACAGCATGTCAGCGCGAAGTCATCCAAAATGGCACCACCGCCACCACCCCCCACCAAACAAACCGGCGCCACATATGAAACCATGCAGCCAATGGTAATGGCACATTCGCGCGTATGGCAACGGAAATGGTAATGGCAGCGCTGGTGGCAGTCGCAACGGTAGCATATCCTCGTTGACAGACAATCAGGGCAGCTTGCAGCGCCACAGTCAGAACGTCAATGGACGTAGTACGTGTCACACGCCACCACGCACAGATCGAGAGCAGGTCGTAATGACACCAAAAGGTAAAACCGTTAACAGCACCGTTATACTGATCGAACGCAAGCTCGTCGATGAGATAAACGAACGCGTTCATGTCGCTGGCGGCGATCATACAGGAATTATAATAAATAAGGACACCGTAAGTGGACAGAAGAGCGAAATGGTGCCGGCACAATTATCGCTGGAGTTTCGTGTATTCCTGGTAAGCGCCAATACCGGTAAACATTCGCAGGAATCACGTACGCTGCGTTTCTGGTTCCGTCAGTGGTTGCGCAGTGACGAGAAGCAGGCACAGATCGCGCAGGACTTCTTCAAAGAGTTGGTCAGTCCGAAAGATTTTCCCAGAGGTGAGTGAGCAGTAGAGAAAAGAGAGTGAGACGAAAGCGAGAAAGCTGAATGTAACTTTTTTGAGTGCAGAAATGAAGTGTGTCATTGCATTCGATAAAAATTATTTTATTGTTGATATTTTGCAGATTATGTGGGCTTCATTAAAAAGATTATGAAATTACTGCAACGTGGTTACGATGAGATACAGTCGTTAGAAATCGAATTGCGCATTTTGGAGGAAACTGCAGAGCCGCCATCACGACCACGTAAGTATTCAATCTACATTATACTGAGAAAAAATTAAAAATTTAATTTATTTAATTTATAAAATACTGTATTTTTTCTATCTAAGTAAAAAATTGAGCTCTTTAGGAGATTTCTAAAATTTAGAATTCTTTATAATGAGAAAAAGTTTCTGAATTTAATTCGTTGTGAAGTTGGACAAGGGATAAAGGGAGACTAAATTAATCATAAGACAAAATAATTTCTGTTTTTGGTCGAATATTGGCGATTTTTTTATCATTTAATAGAGTAGGTTCACACCATTTATGGTCACTCTATTTTCCACATAGCTATGACAAGAAATCTATGTCGCTCAAGAAATTCACAATTTTCTCTAGTGTTTTCATTTTTATCATAATCAACTGCAAATTACCCCTTAGGCGCCAAAGACATAGACAAGTTGTTAGCAAGCAAGCTCTAAAACTATTTTTAACATTAAAACTAGTTTTAAATATTTTCTTTGGGTATAAAAAAATTACAGTTAATTTTTAAATATTTTTTTCACTTCAACTTTCGAACTTCTCAAACTGAAATTGATTTATTTCACTCTTCAACTGCTGCGGCTCGGTCTTGTGGGTGCGGCGAATCACTCCACCCACAACAACACTAACCTCGCACAAGCTTAAGAAATGAACTTGTTAAAGGAAACCACACACACACACCTGCACATATACTTTAAACCTATGAATTTATATGCTTAATTTGTCATATTAAATATTTCGTCTCTCTCTCTACTTCTCTTTCTCCTACATCATTTTATTTACAACAATGTGTTTGGCAACGCATACATCCCCATACATGTATGTATACATGTGTGTCCATATGCATACATATACTCTACTCTACTGCTCTGCAATTTCTTCCCTTTCACTCATGCGCAACGATCCACCATCGAATTTGATATTTCGAAATTTCGAATTTGGCATGAACGACATGTTGTTGTAGCGCGCGACGGTTACATTATATACTGTTATGGTGATTGCAATCGCAAATTCGAGGAGCACTACAGGCGCAGCGCAAAACAGGTGATGGCGATGACTTAATGAAAGCCATTTGGCTGGATATCTATAACGAGCAACTAACCACACGACGCAAATGATTGATTAGCGCGCATCTCGAAACGCATACATACATATACACATATATCTATGTGCATACAACACACATGCATAACTCTAGTTGTAATTGTTGTTTAGCTGGTGTGTGTGGTACACCACCTCCATGGCGGCACGTGGGAAAATAAAAAAGAAAAAACGAGGCAATAACAATAACAAATCAATTTTTTTTTGATTTATCCATAACAACCGAAGTGAGCGCTGCTAATAACAAAAACTAAAAAAATAAATTAATAAGGAGGAAACTTTACAAAACAACATATTGCAATTGTAAAGAAACGAAATTCTGCGAATTACAAAAATAACTGTTGTTGCATCGTAATGTTAATCTGATATCGTGGTACTCGTTGGCTGACTTGCATATATTTACTATATGTATGTGTTTACGCCGTAGTTGTGGAGTTTCTATGAACATACTTACAAACATTCATATACATATATATTCATATACATATATTTATATGCAATATGTACTTCAAACATAATAACATATATGTATATACATACATAATTTTTCTTATTTGATTATGTTTTTATTACTCATCACCTCTGATTTTATCATATTTCTTTCATCAATCTTGTATCTTCATTTTCTTTGGTTTCATTTTTTATTTTGTTTATAGTTCGGCACTTTGTTTATAGTTTTTTACATGTTTTTGTATTTATATCTATTTATATTTTTTTATGGATTGTGAATCCAACCTTGCTTAGCTGACGTCCGCATGAATTTTTGTTGTGATTTTTAATTTCGCTGATTTTTGTTATATTTGTTGTTGTTCATCTTTGGAATCAGATACTCGTGCCATTCGTCATCATTTCTACTAGAATTACTATGTATATAAAGTAAGCTGTTAAAAGAAAATAAATAAAATAGTTTTAATAAAGTATTACAATATCTCTGGAAAAATATTTGGAGTGAAGAATATACGTATTTGTTTGTCATAAACGTATGATGAGTAACATAGATCTGATCACTCAGATGGGACTCTCTTTTGGGCATCAGACATCCGGGGAATCTTTCGTTTGATAAGCATTGTGACTTGCGCGACGTCTTTTTGAAACCAGTAATTGTCAAGACATTACCCACGAAATTGGCGGTAGATTTATTGAGATAGATTTTCAATTACTTTTTCCTTTTTTTTTTAAATGTGTATCTCTTTTTAGTCAAGAAATGGCGTTTCTTAGAAATATGGAAATTTTAATTATTAACACCGTCAAAAAGACGAATCTTCAAGATAAGTTTACTCTCAGAAATAGTGTTTGGTCTCAGCCATATGAATGACTACTCGATCACATTCCGATTCGATTTGAAATTGCATAGTTTAAATTGTATTGCTTTGAAGTTTCCAGATCATTTCGAACCAACTCTACCGCTTCGTACATCTGAATTCAATCTGTATATACCAATATTGAAGATACTGTAAATTACTTAAAAACAAAAGCATCGCATACGATTGGTTTATTATCTAGTGCTGATAGAGTAACCACTCTCAGAGATTTTCCATCAGATGTTCCTTCTGTTCAAGAAGAGGAATACTATGAAAAGGAATACTTGATATATATACTCTGAATATCAAAAAATCATAATTGATTATAATTCGTCTAAAATATTTGATATATGGTACATACCATACAATTTCACTTTTTAAAGTCGCTGAATTTATTTATATGTAGTGAGAGTCATCACCATGAGAGTGATCTTACTAGCTTTGATAATACCAAATATTTAAGTCGATCCTCTTCAGCGCTGATATACAGCTATAATTTTCAAATCTCAGTTTAGAGTCGTCCGTATAAAGACAAAGAAATAGTTTGAGATTGCTCTGAAGACCCTTAAATATATGTACCGAAAATAACTCACAAAATTTGTAATATTTATAGAGCGGAATGAATAAACTTGGTTCTTACAACTTGAAAAAGGGTATTTGACTGTGGAAATAAGTTCAATGTTAACACTACTGAGGATAATGGATATACCATATACCATATGGATATATCATAAATAAGTAAATAAATATATGATATATAATGTGTAGGATAGGAAAGCAAATTGTTGAGACAAAAGACCCATAATGAGAGATTGGAGCGTGGTTATAAATTGTATCAGGTGGATAATGGTATAGAGTTTTTATCTTCGGAAATGTACCTATAAATACTCTATAATCGGCATAGTTTGCTTAAATACAATGAAATATATTTCTGGAGCTAAGTACTATATATTTAAGAATTGTAAATGAACTGTTAATGTACACTTTTATTTTATATGTATTCTTTTTTACAGTTATTAAATTTCTTTATTATTTTTTGTGACATGTTTCGCCTAATTAATAAGTCTACGGTTAACGAGTACCAGAACTACGAAAAAAATATATTTACAATGTTTGTATGTGTGTACATAAGTACATATATACAATTATATCTTCGAGTTACTTTGCAACCTGATACTCCTCATATGGTTCGCATAACTCGCTCATAACCTGCTCGCCATTACAAAGCTTTTGCACTTTAACCCGCCATGCAGTCCATTGACTTTCTTCCGGGGAGCGCTGCGTCTTATAACTGCGCTAATTTGCTGTACTTACTAACATGCCTACATACACATAAGTACATACATACATACGCATGAGTAAGTGCGTACCTATCAGTGCACTCCACTGGCTCATTGGCTCACTGCTATGTTGTTTGTGCAATTTGTTCGCCGCGCGTTGGCCCTTAACTTCCATATTGAATGCAAATTATCCAATTTAATGAAATTAATAAAACAACGATCTCGCATGCAATTACATACATACTCCTCGTGCATACTTTGTTGTGTTGATATTGGTTTAAAATTGTAAATTTACATGTGATTAACAAAATCCCCTAATTGAATGCATTTTGTTCTCTTCTCTTGTCTTTCTTTCCGGCGCTCAATCTCATGGATCCGTGTGAATTTGCAGTCTCACTGGAAGAATCACAGTTTGAGTCTCCGCCATTGACGCCGGAAAAGGTGCTCGAACTAATTGAACAAGCCTATCCGAATCCCATTACACCGGAAGATTTGGCTAAGTATGCAAAAATTCACTTTACTTTTGTTTTTGTTTCGTAATAAATTTATTTTTTTTGTTCTTCAGAGACTATGGCTGGGAGGAACAAGATGTGCTTTTGGTATTCATATCGCTGAAGGAACGCGGTCTTATTAAATCTATGGAATATAATTCATACACGAGAATACATCATGAAGACAAGGAGATTAAGGTGAGTGCTAATTTAGAGTAAAAATGATTCCTAAATTTATAATTTTTCCACCGAATTAAGGTCGTTAAACAAATGCCAACCATTGCTTCGAATAAACAACCCACAATCGCCATTATAACGGCGCAATATTGTGAGAAACTAGCGGTGGATGCCATGTTGGAGAATAAGGAAACGTTTGTACGCTATACAACAGTCGGTGAGTCTGATTTTTAGTCTATGGATATATATACTTGTATATATCTTCGAATATTATATTCGTACATACATACATACATACATTCTGTAACCGAAGTTTAGGAAATTAGAACGAAGTAAAACTTTTTCGAACAAGTCATGGACATTCAATACGCTGGTTTCCCGTGAGATTAATTCGACTTTGTCTCTTTTTGTTATTATAATGGCAGAAAATATTCTTCAAAGAGTTTTGAGGCTGTATCAAAATCCGAGTCGGTGACGGTTAAATGGACACGAATATCGTGTAAACGGCGTGACTTTGGTTCAGTTTCGCTTTGATATAGTAAATACTCCACAACTACTGATCATTTCTGACACATACCCCCGAATCTTTGAGAAGCTAGAAGAATCAGTTCTATAGCGATTATAGTAAGCTTTCCGTCTAGTAGCGTTACCAGCAGTAAAGGTACTGGAGTCAAGCATCTGGAACCAGCGTCCATACTGAGCTTTCTTGGTTTACCTGGAAACAATTATTAAAATAATTTACATATATTCTGGATCAATCACATTGAACAGTATAATCTTTGAGATATTAAACAGCGAAAATGATATTACTAAAAGTTTAAAGAACCAATATCTTTTTTTATACAGAATGTATGTATGTATTTAAGTAATTATCATACTATTTTTTAAAAAATTTCTATATAAAATATAGCTATTTCGCCGAAATGCAATAAGTTGCATTATATCTTTAATTTTTCAACTTTTCAACATTTGATAACAAATACAAATAACTGAAAATGGTTTTGAATACTAACGAATTGCAATCATTTTCTTTCTCTTTCTTCCCACCTGAATTGAACTGACTCCTAAACGGCGATTTGTTCACTGTCCACACTATTTATTCAATCCCACATGCAAAAAAATTTAAAAAATGAAAAAAAATGAATTCACTTCTTTCATACCAGATACCGATCCCAATTTAACAAACACACTCAGAAAATCTAAAAAGAAAAGAAGATTTGGTAAGAAAATAAAGAAAAAGCTAAGTTGTGTCTACTAAATAATATCGCTAAGTTCCTTTGTTGTGGTTTATTGTGTTCTTTTGTTGTCAACAATTTGGTTCTGGGTATTTGTTGTTATTTCGTTCTACATGCATATGTATATTTTACACAGAAACACATACAGACATATACATATAAATATGTGTTGTGAGTCCTCATACACAAATACATATACATTTTTACATATTCACATATGAAATATTATTTTACAAAAGATTTAATTTTTGTAAAATATATGGAACCTAAACCATTGTTACCATATATCACCATCACCTTGCACATTCTACACATAGGAAAGCTTTAGGAATAACCTCACTCAACCATTCGCTTAGAACTCATCCAACGACTTCTCGCATTGACTAAAAGACAATAATGATTAAACAAAAGTACCAAATTTCTAGGTTCCTCATACAGAACTATTTTAAAGCAAATCTAATATATATGTATATAAGTAGAGCATAAAAGAGATGAAAGTTACAACATTTTTTAGCTCTGCAACGCTTTTCTATTTCTCTCTCATCATTTAGAATTATTAACACTAATGCGAGGCTTTCAATGTGTCAAAATTACTGCCAAAATAATTAACTAACTTGATAATAATTTTTATTATTTTCACTGAATATGGAGAAATGTTTCAAATAGAAATCAACTTACAAATGTGCTGATATTCTTTAAATTGCAATAAAATAAAATTGCAAACTTCTTTTACGTTTTCACAACGACTGTCAGTGATTTTGACGTAATGAAAAGCGCACATAATGTTCTGTACATTTTGAGATGTTACCAGGCGGCAACTAGAATTTAGCTTGAGCATTTTCTATGTCTAAAATCCTCTATGAAATCATCCTAAGTAATCATCTAAGTAAATTTTAGGAAAAATCTGCGGGATTCTTTCAGCAGTCATAGTATACGAAGCCAAACATTTACAAGTCCCTGGAGCTTATCATATTTTTTGTGAATGAAAATTGTATAAAGTTCATTTATGTAATTTAATTAAACAATCGGTCAGCTGTCACTAGTCAATTGACTACCCACAATCAAAGAAATCATAGAATTTGCGGTACATTGTCAATGATATCCATCCCAAATTGGATATACAATAATTAAGAGTATGCTGGCGCCATCTTGAGTGTAAATAATCATTGCTCGTCGATGAAACTATGAGTGAGGTCATTTAAAATACTAGGCTGAACAAAAATTCGCTATATTTTTTTCACATTTCACTTTCTTCATTTCAACTCACCGTTTCACTGTTTTTGTTGTAAATTTGCCCATTTTGTCAACTCTCACACCCAAATCACCACCCCAATTGAACATAACAATTTGGGTATTCTCCAGCTTCTGCTTAAAACGCTGTAAATAATGAAAAATTTACTCTATTACCAACAGGCGAATCGAACGTCTACACTTTGGGCAACATTGGCGCTCATCGCATCGTCAGCACGAAATTACCTTCGGTGGGTAGTACACGCGAATCTATGACCGCCACAGGCAATACAACGACACGTCTACTGGGCACATTCCAAAAGGTCGACTATGTCTTCGTGGTGGGCGTGGCCGGTGGTGTGCCACATTATACCGATTATAAAAAGCATGTGCGTTTAGGAGATGTTGTCATTTCATATGTGGATAAACAGCGGGCGCTATTGAGCAAGTGAGTAGCAGCTGATGATGTATGAACAAATTTGGGGATCCAAAAACTATGAATTATTTTGTTTTTATCTTTAATAAAATTATTATTGTTTCCAAAAACTTTTCAGAAATGAGAAACCCTACGTGTACATCTACAAGAGCGGCGAAGATGTGAAGACTTATTTCCCCATCAATGACTCACTCCAGCAAATAGCCGAAGGCCTACAAGCCAACATGGAGGTAAAGCGCCCATGGGATACCTACCTGCGTGAAGGCTTAGCATCGTTGATGCAAAAGACGGAAAGTGACTTCAGTCGCCCGTCCGTCAATACCGATAAACTCTTCATGAATATCGGCAACAATGAGGTCATCGAAGTGGCACATCCCATTGCTACGGACACAGTGGACGGCGTACCACGTTCCCGCCTGCATCTCGGCCCCATTGGCTCTGGTCGCGATCTGGTGCGTAGCGACAACTCCCGCATGGATTTCGCAAAGAAATATGGCTTGCTTGCCACCGATGTGGAAATGAGCTCCGTGCTAGACAGCATTATCGGCAATTGCAGGGAGAGCTTCATATTGGTTAAAGGTAAGTGACAAATATATTGATTTAAATTTTATTAAATAATGAAATCCAATTTCCGCTCTCACTACAGGTATCTCCGATTACAAGGACGGCATGTCGACGAGAAAATGGCAGAATTTCTCCTCTCTCGCGGCTGCGTCTGTGGTCAAATCGATTATTTGTGGCATGGATGCGCCAACAAATGTTTAATTAGCAAGCAAAATGAAATTATTCTAATATATTATATAAAATTTATTAATATAGCGCAAAGTAAATTATTTGATAGAGCTACGTATACAGTTGTCTAACGGTTAATTGTATAAAATATTAAGCAAATGAAAGTGAAAGCATTTAGATTTCTTTATACTGACTTGATAAATTCACATATTTATAGTATACAACAATTTAACAGCATTAATACATACAAATATACAAAGTTGCATAATTATTAATTCTTCTTAATAATTTTTACTAAATTGGCAAAAGTAAAAAAAAAAATATTATTATCTGCACTTTTTTATTTACTTTATCTTTTTCTAAGTGAAAGTACATTTTCATATATTTTTACTGCAATCTACAAGTAATCAAAGTGTTTTAGTTGATAAAGAGAGAAGAGAAAATTGTGTCCTTGTTTTTTGTAATAATTTTGTTATATTTTATTGTATTGTTAATTTTTGTATTGCAATAAATGATTACATATGGACCATAAGGTAATTATAAAATAACTATTTACGGCCTTATTTTTGTTAATGAGAAGGTGAGAACAAATATAGTATAATTTTTATACCCTGAAGAGGATATATTGAGTTTGCCATGAAGTTTGTACACCCAGAAGAAAATGTAGGTGACCTTAGACAATATATACATATGTATATAAATGATTAGCGTGACGAACTGGGTCGATATATCCATATCCGTCTGTCTGTCCGTCAAGTCCCGATACAATCAAGATAAATATCTTTTTATACCCTTTTATGCAATAAGATATGCAACTGAAAATGGTATTATAGTATCTGTGCAGCGAAATTCAACATTTTTTCTTGTTTTTAAACATGTTTAAAACATTTCAAATGCTCATTTCACTTTTGCTTTTCACGTTAAAAAATCCGTCCATTGCCAATAGTTCAGTTCCACACACCCTTCAGCAATTAATTTCCTCCTCAGAGCATCAAAGTAGCACAGCGTGTGAAAAGTTCATGCGGCAGGAAAATCAGAAGTTTAATTTAACGACAATCGACGGAATTACGGAATTGTTACTGAAGTCAACGTCATGAATGAAATCATTTTCCATGATTAAGAGATTAAGTTTTAAAAAATATTCTGGTTAGTATCCAATCTACCAGGATATAGTGTGGCATAGTGGTGATATGGGCACAAATATTTGTTTATAGCTCAGTAGTGGTCTGAAATGTGCTTTACATATAAAATTTGATTACAAAATAATTTTTGCAGTAACTGTGTTCCTAGTTCTACTTTTTCTTGAGATTATGGTATAATAAATCGATTACTGTCGGCTTGTTGTCACAAAAAGTCAATTTTGCGATTGTCATGCTTTATACTTATATGTGTGAATCGATCTTAAAAGGTTTATTAGAAAAATTACGTACTTTGGTGTAACTTTTTTCAAGTGTGTTAGAAGACCAATCGACTATGCTTATGTTAAATTATTGAATTTGGACTTCAATGCTTTACCATAATATTTTATATTTTTAGCAATAATAATAAATAAATAATGGAATATTAAAATGTTGTGTTTTACATTTAGCTGTCGGTATCTTTATTAGTGTATGTATAATTAAAATTCAATTGAGGTGTTATTAGAAAAGCTCTTCTTTTCGATTGGTAGAAAACGTTGAACAAATTCAAAGTATAGACATATGTGTCGTTATAAAAGCTCTATTAATAAAGCTTTTAAAGTTTAAGTTTTTCAACTAGTTGAAATATTCAGTGTTGTTCCAAATAAATTTGTTTTTTAGGTTTTTGGATATATTTGAAGAAAATTAAAAAAAAAATAGTATACCTTATTGAATAAGAAATGTGTAAGTAAAAGAACTTATGTATTACTTTTTGGTAGACGATATTATCTACATAGTTATATATAATATTATACAATGTATATATATCTGTTTCACCCAGCATTACCTCTCAATTATAGTGTGGGCCTTGATGTTAATGGAAAAAATTTAGGTTTTGCAAGTTTTAGGTCAGCATCTAAATTATAAAGGTTTCCAAGCATTGTTCTGGCAGGAAAGCCCTGGTAGGTTTGCTTGCCATTGTCTGCCAAGTGGATATTTGGAGGTAGATGAAGTAAAATAAATTTCCTGATTATATTAGTCGAAAACTAGTCGCTTATGCTGCGCACGCTCACGTTTAACTGCTAATCTACGGCGGCTGGCTAATCTTCGTCGCAAACTCCCTGATTTCGTAGGGTATAGTTAACGAAGCTAATCAAATCTACAGGCACAGAGCTCAAAGCACAGTGAATAGAAACAGTTATTGTCTTGTAGCTCGCTATTTTGAATTTCATTTCGAATTTAAACAAAGGTTCATTTATTACTCCAATCTCTGTTAAATGTGTAAGCTATATGAATTATAAATCTATAAACTACCTTTTGACCACACTGTGGCTGTTACAACTTGTTGATACTTGTTCGGTTTGTCTTTACCCCACAAAACATATGACTAGAAGCGGCATTGAGAAATTGGAGAAAGTATTCAGTAGTATAGTGAAGAGAGTCTATTTATTCTCAGCTGATATGAAAATGCCGGTCTCATTGAGGTTGTGAGATCAGCTAAACGTGCTTATTACTGGAACTGGTCAGGTAACTCGCACGATTAATAGAAGCTCTCAACGTTGGGCTAAATACATACACATATGTACATATATTGATACCTACGAGATAATACATACATACTTGTGGATACTCTGGGTTGCCACTTATAATATATTTTAATAGTAGAGACTTTTCGATGTTTGTATAAAGTAAAGTTTTAGGGGTATTTTTGAGTCATTTGTGTTAAAAAAATGTTTCTTTTGCTGTTTTTTAANTTTTTTTTTTTGTTTTTGTCAAAGTTTTGGTTCAAAAAGCACATGGAACATAACACATAAACATATTATCTTCTCATATTGCCATAGTTAACCGAAATTCTCTTCCAAAATGTGACACCGAGTAGATATTATAAGGGGTATATCTGTCATTACGCGAGTTTCCTTTTTATAAAAATAAAAAATATATGTGATGATCAAAGCTATAAATGACCTTTCCTTACGAAGGTCGAAAGTATGAAAATTACGGTTGGAGTAAAAATAATTAAAATAATAAATAAAATTGCATCTTAAAAGTAAAAATGTTCCATAAATGTTTTCCAGCACACTTGGCAACTCTACCGCAGAGCTCCATCTCTTTGTGTGCTCCGACCTCCAGTTGGTCTCTGGGCGCAGTTTTGTGGGAAGTCAGTCGTGTGCTAGCGACCAATCGTGAAGGTAGTAATTTCCTTCTCCAGTACGGTTGTGTTCCATAAGGGTAGCAAAAGACACGTGGAAAGTTTGCAAAGTTGAAATAAATCTTATTTAAGTACATTTTGTTTACATCTCAAGCAGATAAAGTGAGTGATAAGTGATAATTAAGTAAACTTAAGCTGTTAACAAAGGATTTTCTTTCGAAAATTAATTTTTTAACCAAATACATACCCACACTTCTGGATGCTATGCGTGTGTGCATGTGGGTATGTTCTATTGGTGGGTACATGTGGCATATGGGCTGAGTTAAATTTCAAGCATCGGGCATTTATTTATTTCATTTTAAATATTATTTCTTGCAATACTACACCGTTAAACAACGAGTATTGTGCAATTAAGTAATTACAAAACGAGTTACTTCATGTACTCCAGCGAAAGGTCACGCAGTTGTACGTACAAATGTATATACATATATGTACATATATGTTCTTAAATATAAATATAAGTACATGCAAGTAAGTCTGCTTTATTGCCTCTTTGCTAACAATCTTATAACCGGTTCCCTAAGGTAGTGAGCCTACATATGTTTATCACACATCTGGTTACTACATATGTTTGTATGTATGTACATACATACGTTTACAGATAGCCATATATATACATTTGTGTGTATGTATGTATGTTTGTAATCAATTATATTTTTACGCAAAGATTTTAAGTGCAAAATATACATATGTTGTTCGAGTTTTTTTTTGTTTTATGAGAATCGGGGAACCGAGCAAATTGAACATAAACAAGCATTGTAATTGAAAGTGGGCATGTTTTCCCGGCTCTTGGCGTTGTGACATTGTACCGCGTTCCAACTGAAATTGCTACAAACTTGTATGCACATGTGTTTTGCCATGGGTGTGCGCTCGCGTTCTGAATCTTCATTGTTTGGAGGCGTCACATACAAATAATAAGTTGAAAGAACTCAAGTGATCGTGAAAATATTTGTACATTTATGAAAAAGTTGACGATTTTACTTTTATTAAAAAAAAAATCATTTACAAAACTGTTCTTCAAATTAACTTATTATTAGTGGAGCTTGACGGCCAGAGATGTTTATTGCAATAATGAGATAAGTGTTTGATAGAGCTACTTTATATATACATACATATAACCATAAGTATACATTTTTGGTTCATATATACATATGTATGTACATATGTGGTTCAATGAAAATGTATGAATGAAAAAAAATCTGAAAATATTAATAAAATATGTAGTGAAAACTACCAAATATTATGTATAAAATATTTTCATATAAAAGCATGATGAGTTTTTTAAGTTCACTATCATTGTGACCGCTAAAATAATATTTTAGTGAATGATGATTGATTATACTCGACGAGGATCCCTAGTTTTATTGACTTAATATTCAGTCTGACAAAGACTTTAATATTATTTTTCAAAAATATATGCTGACAATTTTTGGCACCTTTATTTTTGCATAACGAGATACCATTAGCTGATGTTGATAGTACAAAAGAAGGTCATATTTTTCTTGCTTTTGAGTAAGTACGTAATGACTGGAGAATTTCTCCATTTAAATATATACATACAAGTACATATATATTTAATTATATTTCTACTTATTTTCAAATACGACAAAAGTAAACGCCTTCTGCTGATTGCCTGAACACATGAGCTTTAGACATAGTCAAACCGATGTCGAGTGCTTTAAGTTCTAGTTAAAAAGTAGTTTTTTTAGTCACGGCAATTAAGCTCTATATTCAATTATCGAGAAGTTTGAATCGAGCTACTTGCTTTAAAGAACTACATAAAATTTTGAGGGAAAAGGGTTGTTGTAAATGATGGAGAAAGGATGAAATGAAATGGACAAACCTAAAAATTCACTACTGAACTGTTATATAATAAAAAAAAACATATTTTTAAGGCCAACGGCGTTAAATTTTTAAATATTTTAGTCAGGAAAAAATTATCCCCGTGGCTCAGATGACTCTATTAATGGGTAAGGGAAACGTAACATAATTTTGGGAAGATAAACTTTAGTCATTTATAATTAATTTGATTCTTGACAAAAAAAGTGTAACCGTAGTTATCTCATAGTATGGAGTAGAGTATAGAGCCTGATATGTTATGTGAGATAAGAATTTTGATAAAATAGTATTACATACATATATATACCTAGATACCTACTTTTTATGATAAGGAAGATGTTGACTTTTTAATAGAAATTAAATTAATGTATACACATTTTGATATAATTCGCATTTAATATCTGAAACTGGAAATATTTTATACATTATTATGTTTCGAATTAAACATTGATATTTAAAAATTGTTAATAAAAACCAGTTTAACTAAATTTCTTTTTCAATAAAATAAATAATTATTACTAAATGAATACACAAATAAATAAATAATTATTGATAAAAAGTTACAAAAAGTAAATTTAAAAATATTAAAATTTTGTTTATACTTTTAACGGAAATTTTTTAAATCTCTTTTTAATAATAATTCAAGCTATATTTAAAAATTTTATTACATATGTATATATGTAGATGCCTCTTCACACGAAAAATGATAAATTACGCATTGATTAAGCCATAAAATTAAACTTATGTATACGTTTTCACACACATAATTACGTGTACGCACACACATAAATACGATAATTTCATACATGCGTATAAATTGCCAATTAACATACTAATAAAAGACCACAACGTTGTTACTAACCTCATAATCATCAACACGAATGGCGCTGTCTTATCGCTTTATCGCTCACTAGCAAGCTCTCTCAACCCGGCCTCTTTTATTTAATAGGTCTGAGAGATTTCATTTTGTTTTTGCTCTCAATAGCAAGAAACGTCAAGACCTGTCTGTCAGTCAAAACAATTGTGATAAGATAATTTTTGGTAGCTCTCAGGCTTTTGCAATTCCTCAGCGCGATATGTATCCACACACATACATACACACACGCATATACTATTAGTGGCCAAATGGTCGCACACGTGCTTTGAGAGAAACATAAACAATAAGCATGCCGACGCAGTCAGTGGCGTGATTCACATTTAATGATATCTGAGTATACCCTACATAGATAAAAATAGTATAGCTTTCAATTATCATAAAATTTATTTGTGTTTTGTGAAAAATGCTTAAATTTGGGTATACTCAATAAGCACATGGAAAATGAGATTTAGACCAAGTGTTTGATCAAGATCTGTCATCTTTTCTCTTCCAACATTTATTGTCAATAATGCTAAAACAATTTTGTAATTTCTATTTATTTTCAGTTTTTTTATAAACAACCAAAATGACGTCGGCAAACTGTTATTTGGTCCTAGAAGACAACACCATCTTGCCCGGTCATGCATTTGGTGCCAAAGCTCCGGTCGATGGTGAGGTTGTATTTCAAACTGGTATGGTGGGTTATCCCGAATCAATGACCGATCGTTCATATCGCGCACAAATGCTGGTACTCACCTATCCGCTAATCGGCAATTACGGAGTGCCAGATGAGAAAGAACTCGATGAACATGGTATGCCGGTAAATTTTGAATGGTTCGAAGGCATTACGGTGGCTGCACTAGTGGTGGGTGAAGTGTGTGTATCACCCTCACATTGGCGTGCAAAACAAACGCTGTCACAGTGGATGGAAGGTCATGGTGTACCAGGCATTAGCGGCATAGATACACGAGCGCTCACGAAAAAGATACGTGAAAATGGTTCCATATTGGGACGTATCGTTTACGAGAAACCAACAAATTTGGGTAGTCTAACTTTTGCCGATCCAAATTTGAGAAACTTGGTAGCCGAGTGTTCGGTTAAGGAGCCACGAGTGTTTAACGCTACTGGCACGCCACGCATTTGTGCCATCGATTGTGGCTTGAAACTGAATCAGATTAAGTGCTTTGTGGCACGTGGTGCGCGTGTCGATTTGGTACCTTGGAATTATCCACTGAAAGAGGAGGAGTTTGATGGGCTCTTCATTAGTAACGGTCCTGGTGATCCGGTTGTATGCAAGGACACAGTTACGCAGATACAACGAGTTTTGAAGAATGGCAAGAAACCGATCTTCGGTATTTGTTTGGGGCATCAACTGCTCGCAACCGCAATAGGTTGCAAGACGTACAAAATGAAATATGGCAATCGTGGACACAATTTACCATGTGTACATAACGGTACTGGACGGTGTTTCATGACCTCGCAGAATCACGGATTCGCAGTGGACAGCAACACATTGCCAGCTGAGTGGGAGCCACTCTTCACCAATGCCAACGACAACACTAATGAAGGTACGAAGAAACAACTCATTAATTTTTTACCGCTTTTAATTCAATCAATCTCTTTTAGGTATCATTCACACAAACAAGCCATACTTTTCGGTACAATTCCATCCCGAGCATACCGCCGGCCCCGAAGATTTAGAACTACTTTTCGATATTTTCCTCGATGCCGTTAAGCAGAAAAGTCATACAGGGGATGTGAGCTTACGTCAAAATTTGATCAATCGTCTTACATACCAACCTAAACACGATACCATACCCGATAAGCGTCCACGTAAAGTACTCATATTGGGCTCCGGCGGCCTGTCAATTGGACAAGCGGGCGAGTTCGATTACTCCGGCGCGCAAGCAATCAAAGCAATGAAAGAGGAAAAAATACAAACCGTTTTGATAAATCCCAATATCGCCACTGTGCAAACATCAAAGGGTCTGGCTGACAAGTGCTACTTTCTGCCATTGACACCAGCATATGTGGAACAGGTTATACAAGCGGAGCGTCCAAATGGCGTGCTACTCACGTTCGGCGGTCAAACAGCGCTCAATTGTGGCGTCGAATTGGATCGTGCTGGTGTCTTCGAGAAATATAATGTGCAAATATTGGGTACACCCATACAATCGATTATCGAGACGGAAGATCGTAAAATCTTCGCAGACCGTGTCGCCGAAATTGGCGAGTGACAGCGTGCCCGGCCTTGCCAAGTCCGGAGAGCTGGAAGCTATTACGATCCACAATGGAAGGATTTGTATTGGGCATCTAGCGCAATCAGTGTCACCACCACTCAAAGCTCAGCTGCGGTTCCGGTGGCAAATGCCCTAACCGTATTGTGGCACCAGGTTCACGAAATGGACATGCACAATCAATAGTAAACCGGGCAGTTTAACAACAATGCGGCGTGAAAGTCACATGCAGTCGTATGAGTCTTCATGGCGGGCGACGTCCGTATGCGCATGGACTCGACTAAAGTTTGGTGCACTTGACGTCGGTCACAGGAATGGAGTAGTCGACGAGACGACGTGTGCGATAAGCCGTGTGTCATGAAGGAAGATACTCTGAAAGAAATAAGAGGAAGCATTTATGATTTTAAAATTCAAAAAGTCAGTGAAAATGGCACCATAAAAACGTATTTCCCATCAACGTAAGTCAGAGTGATGTTGATGACAATAATTATTTAAGAGTACGAGTTTCGATTCGGCCAGTATTAATAATCTTTCCTTAGGCATAAAATTGCCTTAAAAATTTTTAAGTAGATGTTCAGCTGGGAGTCTTTGGACCCTTTAATTACTTCTCATACTTGAAACCTTAGACGACTAATCAATATTTTGAACATGAAGAAGCTGCCTACTCAAAGAATCGACTCAGATAATTTATAGTTCTCTCTTAAATTATATTTCCTATCTTTTCTGCTCTTCGATTTCTTTCTGTCGGTTTGCCATTTCCATATTTAAGTGGGCGGGATGGCGGATAATTCCTACGTTACTGAACAATTAATTACGCATGAGTTGTATCTCACCTCTGCACCTCCTCCTCGCATTGGAATGATGACGGATATCAATCTGTTTTTTGCCAAGAATTCAGCATAGGACGTGCTCGCCATTGGGATCTTCGGTGTTGCTTATCGAAAGTCCATTGTACGGATTCCACCTGTTGAAGATAAGAACGATTTTAATGATGATAGTTTATTACACATATTCTAAATTTATGGTATCCACATATATAAATGCTATACAAGTATGTTTATAAAATCGGTCAAACGCTGCGTCAACATATGTACGAAGACAAGAATTACGATTATATAAATAGCCTAAGAGCCTCGTAGTGTAGGTGAAAGTGACCACTAAGTTGAGCAGCTTTAACTTAAAAGCATTAGTACGTCTATTTTTACTAAATTTTTTCCAGTTGTCGATAACGGCGCATAAGCTACTGATGCCAATTGGCTGCATCACATAAGGAAAAGTTTTCTAATTTGATCCTTGATATAACTTGTGCACAAATGCTTAAGTAACCGAATAAAAAATGTATATCGTACCATTCTTGAGGTATAGTATTTGTTTTCGACATATTAAGTTAATAATCAGCAACCTTTTGGGGTTCTTCAATCTTCTCTTGAGAATCTTCCTTACAATATAGCAAACCAGAGACTTAAGGTGTTAACGTATTCAAGAAACCGATAACTTCTGAAAAAAGAGTGATTTGCATTTTTCTCTCAACCTGAGAAAATGAAACCAACGCTCAAATTTTACCTATTTATGTACTTCAACTTTCTTTAGAGCTCCAATACAAAATTATTGACTCAATGGAGCAAATATTGTCTTGGATCACATTGTATACAAAAGCATATCTTATAGTACGAGCAAGAAATTATAACGGTGAGAACTCTCTCTTTCTTTCTTTTGAGAACAGAATAAAAACGTTAAATCGGCTGCTTCGAAAGCATATATCCTTCACGGTGCATTTCCTAAAGACAACGAGAAAATTAGCCGGCAAGGCTTTGTGTTTGCAGTGGTCCGATTCAGAGGCCCGACAATGGCAGCTTTTGGTTGCAAAAGGACGTGTCAATATTGCAGATCGATATATCTAAACTGAGGACTAGTTCGTGTTTTACAGATAGAATGACAGACAACATGATCAATGACTAAATTTTTAGTTCTTCAACTTTCATAGGTTGTTACAGACCTCGCGTCAAACTTATTGTAACTTAATGTATGGAAAAATTTTTTGTTGTATTTCCATACACTGTCTTGATGCTTGATACTACATAGCATTGACCTAAACTGAAGACAACAACCAATATATCTTCTATTTGTACAGATATTATGATATTTACGCAGAAGTTAACCTGAGAATATTGTATATGCCTATGCTTTACATATATATATCCTTGTATATATATACATTTATGTACAAACAGCAACATAACAACAAATTTGTATAATGGTTAGTTGAAAACTTTCTCTTCGAAATGGAAAATACTCGTTGTACGAAAATATTTTTTTACTATAATCTCCTTAACTTCAATACATTATTCCAATGATCCTCAACAATTTTATGCATTCTATAGTCTGAGCTCTACAAATACGTCGAACAGCTGTAATAGCTTTTCCATTCGACGAAAACGCTTTCCACGAAGGAACTGTTTCAGGTACTTGTGTGCTATTTCTTGTGAGATCACCAACTTTTCAACTAACCTGTATTAAGTTAAATATACTTGCATTCACAACTCATTACTCAAGGGAAGAAAATCACAGAGGTCCATGCAGAGAATAAAGCAAAAAAAAGTTAAACAATTGAAAGTCAAGTGAAATGACAACAAAATATCAATTACATAGAAAATCAAATCAAATTTACAAAAACAACACAGTAACGCGCAAGTCGATATGAAGTTAACTGTGTTATACATATATGTGTGGCTAGACCAATGCAGCAATTTATGTGGCAGAAGAAGGTAGCAAGTCGGCATTCGAGCATCTATTTTAACAAACAAAAAAATAATAATAAATAAATAAAACTCGATCAAAGATTGTAAAGGCGATAACTCGCGGTCGATCTGCAATCATTGCGAATTTCTGCGAACAGTAAAAGAACAAGCGGCGATGGCTAAAACGGGCGCGTGAATAAAAATATAAAAGTGCATATAGGAGTAAAATTAGAAAAATCCGTTGAATGTGGTGAAGGTTCAATAATAAACTAATTAAGTTTAAAAATCGCAAAAGAATTAGTGAAAATTGTGAAATGGGTCGTCAGTTCCAAACTGCTGAAATACCCAACAATCCTCTGGAGGAGTTGCAATTAGAGGAGCGTAAGCGTGAGCAACGCAACGAACAAGAAAGCAACTAAAAATCGCAAATTACAAAGAAACAAGCAAGAAGACAAAGCGCAAAGCAAACAGAGCAAGGACGCCGAAAGCAGACTTCAATTACGACGAAACACGCAAGTGGCGTTACGAACGCACGAATAGTCTGAATTCGCAGAGTACTAGCTATGAAATCAATAAAGAGGAGCTTCAATCGACAAAATCGAGCAAAAATACAAATCATTTGGATAGTGATCTCTGCACGTTCATCATGAATCAGGTGGCGTTGACTTTGCAGTTTTCGGGAACTATAGAAGTACGTAGTTAGAGAGTATTGAATATAAAATGGAAGCATATAACCAAAGTGCTTATACAATTTTGCAGGACTGAAATTTCACTTAAAAATTCGTAAACATTTAAAAAAAAGAAATACATTTTGATAATCAACGTTTTTCGCAGAATTTTACCAGTTTTGATTTGTCACTTTTTCAAGTCGTCTCAGATTGTTTAAGGAAAATTTCACAGTTTCGAAACAGTAAACTATTTCATTATTTCAAAGAGTTAAACGTTTTCGATATTCGAAACTTTATCATAACAGTTTTTCATTTTCAATGTTTTGAAGTCGTCTATGTGCGTTTTCAAATAATTACGCATTTCAAAATTCAAAAATTAATCAATCAGCAAGTTGTAACATTTCGTGTTTTCGAAAAAGAAGTTTTCGATATTCAAATTATCTTTTAAACAATTTTTTTTTTAATCGTAGTTCGAAAAGGTTTTGAAATAGTTTTTTAATAAGCGTTTCAGATTTTCTTTATATCAAATTCCATTATTAAAAGTTGTTTGATACCCTGCTTTTTCAGGGTCAAATTATAGACAAAATTTTCAGATTCGAAGTTCTGCGAAGTTAAATTGATAAGGCCCAGGTTTCGTTCCATTTATATTATGATAAATAATGCTACGAACTCGTTACTTCGTCAATTTCTCGTCACTTGACTTTATGATTAACTCACCATTCTCAATGAGACAAATTTTGTGCACTAAGTCTGATTACCGACTACTAACAGAGAAAATAATAGTGTGAAGAAATCTCCTACATAGCACAATTAAATGTTTTCTAGCTGAATTCTCTCTACCACAGGCAAGTGGTTTCATTCAAGCGCAAACCAATTGTCGTTAGAACACTTCATATAGAAATAGCCATTAAAACCGGAAGCTCTTTGAAAATATTGCAATTTTATTGGCATTGATTTTAAGTGCTTAACGTCTTATCAATTCAAATTTATCACTACTGTTAGGTATCTGTTTGAAGTGCAACACTCTAGTTTCGCGCTCATACCACATTTCATTTGCGTACATTTCAATTATTTATCTAATATTTAATTATGTTTCTTTGTTTGTTCAGTGAATTGGCAAACATTTCTGAGGAATTGTTAGCCAAAGAGAATGATTTGAATCAAAATCTCGAGGCATTCCATACTCTTATCAACGCATACGTATGATGCTGCTGCTCCAAGTGGATGCAATATAAGCCAGTGTGAGTAGAAATGAATTGAGTAGGAACAACTTCTGATAATCTTTATATTTGACAACTTCATAGATGGTTCACCGATAACGAGTGATGTTATCTTAAGGAATGTGATAAGAAAAATATCCCACATAATAGTCTTAAATTCTTATGAGCTCCATATCTTGCTACAAACGCCCAGTTTAAGCTAGATTATTGCCAGCCTCGTATACTAAATACTTCAGAAAGCTAACCTTTAAATACAACTATTATCGCCCTTCTTTAAAATCTACTTCCGGCTCCACGTTTTCAATATAGTAGATTTTTCTTAAACGATCTTTCAAATAAAATTTCTAATAAATACTTTCGATAGCTAAAGGTTTT